ATGTACATAGGAGCAAAGCCAAATCAACTCAGTGGGTGCATATACACATTTATATATACACATATATATGCATATGTATGTAACAATAGTGGCTAGAGGAGAGATTATAAATTGTCGGACACTGGAGGAGTTGGAGGGGGATGGAGGGGTGGAGTGATGTTGATTGGGTACTCATGCATTATGAAGTACTCAAAAAATAAAATTATTAAATTAAAAATATTTATAGTGAATATAATCTAGAAATCAGTAAAGTGACCACAAGAGGAAAAAAGAAGTGTTCAGGCAGACTCTGGGATGGCAATAGGGTGCATGTGACAGGAGAGTAGACAAGGGCTGTGAGAGGAGTAGAAGTATACAAAGACAGATGAGGGAGATGATATGTAAATAGAATCAACAAAACAATTTGTTTGAAAATGCCATAATGGCACCTAATACTGTTTGCACTACTTAAAAACCTATACAGTAAGATAATAGAGTTTACAGAAGTAGATTGATTAGATTGAACTGTTTGGCAATAGTGCTGTGAGAATATAGATAAGAGGTCATCCCGCTGATGCACTTTAGAAGCACACTTTAAAATACTATCAATTTCAGTTTTGAAGGAACAGCTGGCTTCTCTACCCTTCTTGCTGGTGGTATACTGATCTCTGTGTTCTTCAGAACCTTCTAGAAAGTAAAGTAAAAGGCAGTATCCAAGTATACACACTGTTCAATGCAGGAATAGATTGGTTTTATGCAAATATCAATAATATACATATTAAACTGAATGAAACAGCCCATACACCAAGACACTCGGCTAATGGCACAGCAATCTGCAAATTGGTGAAAAAACAAATCTAGAATCTATGACTTGAGTAATCAGAAAGCAATTATAAATAAACCACAGAATCTTATTGGCTTTTCAGGAAGCTGTAGAGAAGGAAAGGATTGCACTGAATATCAATATAGGGTGATTTTAGCTTCTCATTTTACTCATTGGTTTCTTGATAAATCACTCATGTTCTCCATCAGGGACTGGCACTGTTAGATGTTTGTCAGGATTACAAACATGGTAGATCTCCTTGGGGTGTTCTTGGTTTTCTCACCTCATGATTCAACTTGAGAGTCATCTTGCAGGACACCATGATATGTACCAGAAGAGCTGAGAGCCCACAGAAGATATTCCTATTGCCCAGGTTTCTATAATTATTAGGGAACCATTGTGATATATATTATATCCTAACGTGACTCTAAGGAAGAGAAGGAATCTCCTTCATGGAACCTTTTGCTGGTGGAATAGCGTATGGTCCTGATAACACCCAGCTCTATAGAGACGGCAATGTGATGAGGAAGACAGGAGCTAGGGAGATGGTTGAGTGACTAACGTGCTTATTGTATAAACACAAAGATGAGGATCAGTTTCCCTGAACCCACATAGAAGCTATACATGTTGGCACACGTCTGTGATCTCAACACTAGAAGGTGGACTAACTGAAGTGGCAAGCTACAGAATTAGGAAGAGGCCCTGCCTCAAAAGAAAAGAGGTAGGACAGGTATGGTGGCACACACATTTAATCACAGCATTTAGGGACAGAAGCAGGTAGACCAGAACGATCTACTTAGTGAGTTCCAGACTATCCAGGGCTATATAATGAAGCCCTGCCTCAAAAACAAAACAAATGTCAACAGAAAAACAAAGTGGAAAGCAAGCCAGTATCAACCACTGGCTGTCACATACAGCTGCATGGTATGTATACACACACACACACACACACACACACACACACACACACACAAATGCACAAAGGATGAAGAATTCTTAAAGACAGGACAATGTATATTGCACTGGAAAAATTGAGACACTTAAAAAGAGCTGAGTAGGACCATACTGTGAATGTCCCAAGGTATGACTTCCTTTGTTTAACTCAGATAAGTTGAGGGTTATTGATATAAATGCTCATGTAACATTATTATATGTAAAGAGGAGCAGAGTGTTAAACACAAGCCCAGGATAGCAAGTTCTGGGCCAGATTAAGCTTTATGAGGCCATCAGTCAATTATCAGTCAATGAGTAAATTGTATGAGAGTCTTGGGTGCCCTGGGATATACTTGGTTTCTTTTGTGTCATTGTACAAATACAGAGAATGAAATAAGATAAAAATACTGGAAGAGAGAAGTCAGGGTGAGGGGTATGAAAGGACAGCCTGAGCATACATAGGCTATGGGGAGGAGCTCTGCAGAGACTGGTGAGATAAGCTAAAAGAACATTAGCCAGAGAGGATATGATCTAGCCCCCACTCTCAGATAGGAAGCACACCAGCATCCCCTAAGGATCCTGCTCTCTTCTAGAAGTAATTACCCTGGATGCACTTGAATGAGTTGCCTGTTGATTGGTACTACATCTACAGATGGCCCTGATATGGGCTTCTGATCTCAGTGGCAGCTCAATCACTAATGCAAGCAAATGGGAATGATGTCACCTTTTTCTTAGTGTTATCTTTAAACATGACATATACAGAGAAGCATTAGAAAGAGGTAGCAGGTGAACCAAGTGAGTTCACCTGCTAAAGGCAGAGGTGTGAGTTCAACAAGTGAATTGGATGGTGTTAAAAGGAACTACAAAATCCACAGAGCTACCCCCCCCCACCTATCTAACCTGTATGATAAATGGAGAAACATAACTAAGTTTGACTAACTGCCTGGTGTCCAATCCCTGATGTAAGATTTATCATTCTTTAGCCAATTAAAAAGAAGGCCCAAACTTTGTTCTGTTTGATTGTCCTCTTTGCTGAAAAGGACACAAATGTGTGTCAGAGCTAGAGAGGTGGCTCAGCAGTTGGGAGTAGTGTCTTTTGGCTTGGCAGAAGTTAAGTCTGGGGCTGAAGAGTCACAGTCTATACCGTTCTTTGATAGGACCTGAATTTGGTTTCCAACCCCCAGGGATCTTTATCTCCAGCTCCAGGGTGATAGGGTGCATCTGGGTTCTGTGAGCACCTGCACTCACATGCACACAATCCACCCCCTCACACAGTCAGACATGAAGAAAAAAAACAACACAATGAATCTTTAAAAACGGAAAAGAAGTCACTCCTGTGGAGGTCTCCCAACAGACTTGAGTGTTTTACTTCATATCCAGCCAAACCTAAGGAAAGTCTTGCCAAGTTTCTTATATCTTGGCCATTTGTTTTTCCTTTTCTTTCTATACACATGGGGTCTCATTCTCTCTGTAAGGCTGATCCCCAGTGAAGGCAGAAAGTATGGTGGGACAGTTTCCAGTCCTTTCACACATACAGTGAAGTATCAACATTCTCCAATTCCTTTCTCAGGACCAATCCAGTCTTTTGGATTTTCAGATATAGCAACTTCACTGTTCTCAGGGGCCATTGCTGTGCACATGCAAGACACAGCACTGAAAAAAGCTTTTGTCCAATTCCTTTGTCACCTGGACAGGCTCTTTAGGAGAGCAAGGCTTCTCTCCAGGCTGGTAACTGTCCCCTTTTGCTGAGAAAACACATCAAAGGTAAAAATACCCCCTTCTTCAATTCATCAAGAAAATCAGAATACAAGTAGCAGGTGTGATGGAAGACTGTCATGCTCTCCAATGCCACTGCCACTGTTTGTTTGGGGGTCTCTTCTTCCAGGTCCACTAGCACAGTTTGGCCACTCTAAACTCCTTGTAGAAAACTTTTGTCTGCTTCACCACACCCTCTGCCTGCCTCTTGCTGTCCTCCTCAGCATATGAGAATATTATTTTCTTAGGGTCCTAGCTGATGCTTTCCTCACCCTTTTTTGTTTGATAAAACCTGATTTGAAAGTGCCTCCATCCATCCTCCCATTTTATCCCTCAGAAATCTGGCAGCACTTTTTTTTTTTTTTTTACATTTCTAAGCAACTCAAGCTCTTCCTGCCAACTCACAGTTGTTCTCTAAACCTTTTTAATCCTGTAGAATGCACACTAATCTACTGAGGGAAAGGCACCAGGCCCATCCTGGCAGCTGGAGCTAGGAATGTCAGAGTGGAGAAAAGGATAAACAAACTTGCCAGAGAGGAGGGAGAGCCTGGGCCAGCCTCAGCAGCAAGTAGGTTATCTCATGTGCAGAGATAAGAGGATATTCCCCGGGACCCTCAAGTGCAAACTGCATGGATATGACTTGTTCAGAAAGAGAGACAACGATTATCAATAATGTGTACAGTCTGAAGATGGCTGTGTTAGACATTGAGATAAATAAATATCCTTCAGACTACTTTTAGCTTGCCTGATGCCAGGGAAGGAGGGACACATTTAGCTAAAATGTGACCAAAAGGGGACTCAGAAAAGGTATCTTTTGGGCTCCCAACTTTTCTCTAAGACTGGTGCACGGAACAAAGCATTGAGTTTGGTTCAAATTATCAATAGAGTATTGTGAAAAGTGTCACTACCATCTCTTCATGGTTAATCAAGCTAAGTGCACAGCCTACATATTCCTACTATCCAATGAATATATGTGCACTTACTGTTATGACAAATGCATGTTCTCATTTACATAAACACATACATGCACACACCTATCTTCATACACACACAAATGCCCACGCACATACATACACATATTACACACACTGATACTGCCTCTTGTTCTTCCAATTAAGACAACATATTTGGAGATGAAATTTCTGAAAAAAGAGACTAAAGAAAAATTCAAAATGCATTGGGTTTTACAAGTTTTCTGAAAGAACAAAATCTTTTCTAACATAAATTTCTGGAGGGCAGAGACAACATCAGAGTACTTAACTCTAAAACAGAAACATGGCACTACATAGCATTAGATTGTTGTAAAATTATCTGAATGACAAGGACATAAGTGACAGCATAGTTTAAATCTTTAAACCCAAATGAAATTATGACTTAGGCAATTTAATCGTTTTCTTGGAACAAAGTGAGATTGGTTGATACATAAATCGAGGATGACAGACTGAGTGCCAGGAACTAGTCTGTCAGGCACCACAGAAATACTGAATTTAAAGAAGAAAACCAGTCTTACCTTTCCCATCCAGAGATGGACCAAACAGCAAGGATGCTGCACAAAATCAGAGATCCTGGATGATTGTACTTCCTTCTTCACAGACAGCTATGACAACCATATAATTAATTTTTAAAAAAATCAGTTAAAGTAATCATCATTTCTTTAAACTATTAGATTCATATGAAATGAATTTAAAGTGTACCACCTAATTTTGCATATACATATTTTTCTTCACAGAAAAAAACATGTCTTCTGAAGCTTTCAACCCAGTGAGGAAGTTTTACAGAGCATTTTCCAATATTTGAAATATTAGTCCTGAGTAGATATTTCCATTCAATAATGGTTTCTTTTACATTGAGGTAAACTGTTTTCGATGTTTTCAGCACAAATATAAAAAATTGTTTGTATTAGACTTCACATTTTTCTTCTGAAAAGCAAGCTGAACAAGCCAAATGGCCACAGAAGAGACTGCCAACACCTGATGCACTGTGGTAATTATTACAAACTCTAGAGCCAAATGTTGGTTGTGTCCAAGATCTTTCCAGAGCTTTCCATAATGTCTGTTCTTTCAAAAGATAAGCTACACTGATAAAAAATTATAGTGGCTCCTAGTAAGAGGGAAAGAAATATTAAATATAGAAAAACAGATTAACTCAACAGAACACTATGCCACAAGTTTGTAGTATTCTCCAAATAAGCCTTAGTTTTTAGTTACTGAAAAGAAGATTCATCTTTAGAGTTAAACAATTACTCACATTCTTAACTTTTCTTGTTTGCTTTGTTTTATTTCTGTGCTTGCTAGTTTTATGTCGACTTGAAACAAGCTGAAGCCATGTGGGAGACAGGAACCTCAATTGAGAAAATTCCTCTATTAGATCAGGCTGTAGGAAAGCCTGCAGGGAATTTTTTAAATTGGTGATTGATGGGGGAGGACTCAGCCAATTGTGAGTGAAGCTACCCCTGGACTGGTGGTCCTAGGTTCTCTATCAAAATGATCTGGAAGTGTAAACTAAAGAGAATTTTTTTTCTTTTCAAGTTTCTTTTGTCATGGTGTTTCATCACAGCAATAATAACCATAACTAAGACAATTCTGTGGATTTAATGTAGATAAGACTGTTCTTTAACTGGCTATGTACCCAAGTATTATCTTGGATTATTAATTCTCTGACCTCCTTTTCCAAAATGTTGTGATTACAGGTGAAAATCACAACCAATTTCTGTGATGCTGAAGATGTAACCCAGGTCTCTGTAGATTCTGAGCAAGCACTCTACAAGTTGAGCTAATTCCATCCCTGTCTATCTTATCCTAATGATATTTTGTTCATTATAATCCAGAAGAGATGAACTTCATCCTACAATATGTAGAAGTCTGACATCTAAAGTTGTACATGCCAATATTCCTCAAGTAATCCTTGAAAGAGAAACTAAAGAAACATTTTCAATTTGTTTTTATGAAGTTATTATTACCCTGGTACTATAACCACCACACAAAAATTCAGCAACAACAACAAAAAAGAAAATTAAAGACCAATATCCACTATGAACATAGATGCAGAAATAATAAAATACAAGTAAACTCAATTCAACAACACATCTAAAAGATTACCCACCATGATCAAGTTGGCTACATCTCAGAGATGCAAGGGCAGTTGAACACATATAAATCTATAAATAGAATATACTACATAAACTTACTAAGAGATTGAAGAAACCACATGATCATCTTATTAAATACAGAAACAGTATTTTGGCAAAAATCTAGCATCCATTTATAATAAATCTCTTAGAGAGACTAGGGACATATCTCAACATAATAAAAGCAATTAGAGCAAGCCCACAATCAACATCATTTTAAATGGAAAAAAACTCAAATCATTTCCACTAAAATTGGGAACAAAACCAAGAAAGTCTACTCTTTCCACACTTAGCTAGAGCAATCTATCTTTCTGTTTTTCTGTGTCTTTCTCTCTATCTTTCTTTAACCAAACAAGTGAATAAAAACTTTAAGACATTGAAGAAAGAAACTGAGTAAGATATTAGAAAATGGAATGATCTGTTCTCAAGGATCAGTAAGATTAACATGGTGAAAGGTCATCTAACCAAACTGATCTATAGATTGAATGCAATTCTCATCAAAATCCTAACACAATTCATCATAGAAATTGAAAAAAATCTTAAAGTTCATAAGGAAACATTAAGAAATAAGACACATTATTTAAACAACCCTGGAAACACAAAAAACCTACTGGAGCATTACCATCTCAGATTTCAAGTTTAATTACAGTGCTATATTAATACAATATGATATTAGCATAAAAACATACATATTGGTCAATGGAAGAGAACTGTAGATCTGGACACAGGATCATATGCCTACAGACACCTAATTTTTGACAAAAAAAAGCAAAAAATACACATTGGATGAAAGGCAGCATGGTGCATTCAATATGGTTCTGTCAAACTTGTTGTCTCATATAGAAGAATTAAGTTGCTCTATATCTACCAGCCTGTACAAACTTCTACTCCAAATGCATCAAGGACCTCAGCATGGACCAAATACCCTGAATCAGTTAAAAAGCAAGAGTGGAAAATGTGTTTGAGCTAATTGGCAGAAAAAGGACTTTCTAAAAAGAAGATATTTATAGATAGTACAGGTACTAATGCCAATGATTGATAAATGGAATTTTATGAAGCTAAAAATGTCCTGTACAGCAAAGGCTGCCATATTAGAGGCAGCCTACAGAAGGAGAAAAAGCTTTAACAATTACATATCTGAAGACCTGTATCTGTAATAAAAAATAACTCAGAACAAAATGAACATCAAGACAAAAAATAACTCAATTAAAAATGGGATACAGAGCTAAGCAGACTTCTCAAAAGATGAAACTCAATGTCTGACAAATATTCAAAGGAAGTTTATCATCGTTGGCTATCAGGAAAATTCAAATTAAAACTATTTTGAAAATTCATCTGATCTCACTCAGAAAGTCCAAAATCAAGAAAACAATTGATGGCAGATGCTGGCAAGGGAACAGGAATCACTTATTCTTTGTTGAAGGGAGTACAGACAGGTATGGCTACTATGGAAATAAGTGTGGAGGTTCCTCAAAAAGCTGAAAGTAGATCTGCCACAAGATCCATCTCTACTACTATTAGACATATACTCAAAGGGACTTACATATATATATTTCACATAGATACTTGTTCATTCATGTTTGTTGATGTTTCATTCATAAAAGCCAGAAATTAGAAACAATTTTTCTATCTACCTACTCATGAATGGGCAATCAAAATTGTTATATTTACACAACTGAATACTATTCAACTATTAAGAAAAATTAAATTTGCAAATAAATGGGTGGAGATAGAAACAGTCATACTGAGTGATGCAACCTAGACTCCAAAACCAAACATTACAAGTTTTGTCTTATATTATGTGGGTGTTAGCTTTTAAGCTTTAGATTACATGTTTTATTTAGAATAACCACAGAGGCTGGGTAGCTAGTAATGGACCAGGAGCAAAGAGAGACTTTTCCAAGGAAGTGGAAATAGAGTACAGTTTTGTAAATGGATAAAGGGGACATTAGAACATGAGAATTAGTAGGTGAGATATGGTAGGGAGAACTAAAAGAGAGACTGTGAGACAGAATAACTAACATGAAAGACATTTTGGAAAGATGAATGGAGACCTATACTGCAGAAGCTTCCTAAAATACATGAGTATTTTCAAAGAATTTAAATAAAGTTGCAACAAAGGAGACATTGTTCCAACTAGACATAGCATGCTACTAAGTATAATCCAAGAAATGTTACCAGTAATGGGTTACATACTTTGAGGCACTGGCCAAGGAGATTCCACATACAGCTACCCAGACAAGATAGGCTATTACCAATACTATTTGTTATCCTCCACATCCTGTAAGTAATAACTTATTGCTGAAGATATCACATACTTATATCATCAACCATGGAGAAATAAAAACTAGTACCCAGCTAGAAGTTTTACTCCTACTGAATAGTGACCATAGTGCTGGAAGTTACAAAACTTCCTACTATGGGAGAAAAGCATTCATCAATTTCACCCCGCTACTATCTCTCTGTACAATAGTAGCCTGTTTGGAAGATATATTGGGACACAGTGACACAAATATTATGGAAGTAATCACTTTTTGATAGGATGTTGGAACCTATATCTGACAATGAAGCAAAGAATTTGAGACTAGCTTGGTCTCATATACTAGAGAAAAATCTACTTCCACTATTCTGCTAAATGAACATTACAGTTAAACAACTGCTAAACGATATGTTGCTACAGCCATAATTCAATCCTCATCAGAGAAGATTCTTCTTGCAGTAGATGGGAATTAAGAGAGATGTACAACTGGAAAATTTGCAGACAGTGAGACAGGAGCATTCAGGCCTAAAAAGTACTTCTGTATCACATTCCTTACCTCAAGACTCAGGAATCTATGCAGAAGAAGAGAAGAAAAGATTGCAAGCTCTAAATTTGGTGGATGACTCTAAGGAAGCTGTGTCTTCCAGACAATACCAGGTTGATGTACCTGCGAACTTACAAAGACTGTGAGAGCATGCACAAGTTGAAACCAAACTAAATCCAGAGAAGGGTGATGGGGGAGGTCCTTCTGTGTATATGTTTTTGTCTTATTGGTTGATAAATAAAACAGTGTTGGCCAATAGGGAACCAAGTTAGGTGGGACTAAGAGAGAAGTAGGATTCTGGGAAATGTAGTAAAGAGGTGAGTCGCCACGTGATCCTGGGGAAGAGAGGACAAATGCTGCTGGTGTCTTCGACAAGATAAGTACTTATAAAATATATAGATTATTAGTTATGGTTGATACTTAAGACAGACCTAGTAAATAAAATATCTTAGTCATTGCCCAGCAGCATTGTAACTAATATTAATCTCTGTGTGTTATTTTGGGGCCCTAAAGCCACAGCAGAACCCAACCAGCTGGCAGAAAGAGTTATCATTATAGAAGGATTAATGGGCACAAAATCCCACAACTTAAAGAAGGAGCTATCTGCAATTAATAAATGCTAGGAGAAAGAACATTAGTCTTGTTATTGTTTTTGTTGTTGTTACTTTTTAATGGAGTATCACTGGGTGTATCCACCACACTTTATGTCAGGCCTCATTATGAGGACCAACCAAAATGGTCTCCATGTTTTTTCCCTTTTATTAAACATATATTCTTTTCTCATTCAATATAATATGAATACAATTCCTCCCTACCTCCTTTCTCATCTGAATCCACTACCTTTCTGTCTCTCACTAGAAAAGAACAGGCTTCTAAGAGACAACAACAAATATAACAAAATAAAATATAATAAGAAAATCATTATATTGAAGTTTCAGGAGACAAGCCAACAGAAAAAATAAAAGAACCCAAGGGAAAGCACAAGAATCAGAGACCCACTCATTTACACATCCAGGGATCTCACAAACAAATGAAAGCTGTAGTATATGTGCATTGTACCTGGTGGAGATGCCTGTAGACCCTGCGATTGCTGCTTCAGTCTTTTTGAGTTTATATGAGTTTTGCTCAGTTTTTGTACAAGGCCTGCTCTCTTAGTGTCCTCTGTTTTCCCTGTCTTCCCAACTCCTTATGCTTCCTCTCCCATAGGGTTCTCTGAGCTCTGAAGGGAGGTATTTGATGGAGACACCTCTTTTAGAGCTGTGGGTCCTAAGGTTGTTCTCTCTGCATAATGTCTGGCTGTGGGTGTCTGAATATGTTCCTATCTCCTGCAGGAGGAAGTCTAACTGGTGATGGTTGAGTATCAAGGCTCTGATCTACAAGTATAGTAGAATATCATTAGGAATCTTTTTGTTACACTTTTTTAGACCAGAAGTACTTGTTTTACCCTAGGTATCTGGGCTATTTAGTCTTTGGTTCCTGGTCCCCCACCAAGTATCATGTATAGGTTCCACCTCATTGAGTGTACCTTAAGTCAAATCCCTATTACTCTGAACACATCTGATTTCATTTTGGTCACATGTCTTCTACGTGCTTATTGGGTGGGGTATATTAGGTTTATTTTCTTTCTTTCCTTTTTTCTGAAAGAGAAAGAGCCTGACTTCAAGTGTAGGAAAGAGGGAGCACTTCAAATGCATTGGGGAAGGAAAGAATATCAGTAAAATATCATGTATAAAAAGCTTTTAAAACTATTTTTAATGGTAGGTGTCACCTACCAGGACAATACTTCAGGTTTTCTTATTGCCTCTACATGCATCCAAACATAAGCACAAAAGCATAAACACGCGCGCGCGCGCACGCACACACACACACACACACACACACACACATACACACAAAGTATCTGGAGAAATAACACATTCATCAAACTCAATCAGACTTGAGTACTCAGAAACCCTAAAGGAAATCTTACAAACATAATTGTACAAAAGTGATTTAAAATCATTGTCAGTGCTCAGGTACATGTCTAGTTCAATAGTATTCATATATCTAAATAAAACATATTAATCTTTACTCTAATTTACCTCAGAAATATTGTTTGAAAGTAAACCATAGAAATGCATTTCAGTCTATGTTATTTGAATTTCATATCAGTCTTTTCTCACTGAAATAAAAGAATTCAAAGTCATCAGTAAAATTTATCTACCTGGATGTAAAGCATAAAACTCCACAGAAAGATTGTAGGGGAAGCTGTAGCCACGCTTACTTAGGGGCTGGCTACAGGTGTGCCTGACCACGCTTGCTAGGGCGTGGTCAGGGTGACTTAGAGCTAGACTTGAAGGGGACTGCGTCTCTCTTTCAGTTTCACTTTTGGGCTTGCGTACAGACCGCTGCCACACCGGCTGGCTTAGGTTGCTCTGTAAGTAAGGCTTTCCCCTATTAAATACCCTTATATTTCCACTTGGCTCCATATTGGTATTTTCCCACTATAAAAGATAGCATGCTTTCTGGACATTCAAGACTGACACTAGGAGTATTACATACTGTTGATCAATGATTACACTTGAAAATAATGTTTTGGTATCTACTTGTTTCAGATTTACATTGTGAAGACTGTAGTTTATTCCATGTTCATCAAAATGTTATGACCAACAAAATGTGAACAAATAAATAAAAGGGGGCTGGAGAGATACCTCAGTGGCTAAGCTCTTGCTGCTCTACCAGTGGAACTGAGTTCAGTTCCCAGCACAGGTAAAAACTTCAGTTGCAAGGGCTTAAATGCCTCTGACCTCTGTGATTACCTGAACTCACCTGGATATATACCCACAATCACACAAAAAATAAATAAACACAGCTAAAAGCAATAAACATAAATATTTAAAATTAATAAATAAGAAAGAGAAAACAATGAGATAAACCATTATCTTTTTATCATTTTTTAAATTGAATTAGAACAAGATTGATTTACATGACAATCCCAGTTCCCTTCTCCCTCCCATTTTCCCCTACCACCCCATCCCCCCAACTAAAACCCTACCTATCACATACCCTTTCTTCTATTCTTCACCTGACTCAACCTTTATGCTCCCTCATGACCTTTGCATCCTTCCTTTTCTTCCCTTCTCATTCTCGTGGCTCCCTCCCCCCTCTTCCCATGCTCTCAATTTGCTCAAGGGATCATGACCTTATCCCCTTCTCCAGGGGACAATGTTTGTCTCTTTTAAAGTCCTCCTTGTTTATTAGTTTCTCTGGCAGTGTAGATTGTAGGCTGGTAATCCTTTACTCTATGTCTAAAAACCACATATGGGTGAGTACATATCATGTTTGTCTTTTTGTGATTGGGTTACCTTGTTCAGAATGGTTTCTTCGAGTTCCATCCATTTTCCTGCAAATTTCAAGATTCCATTTTTTTTTCTGCTGAATAGTACTCCATTGTGTAAATGTACCACATTTTCTCTATCCATTCTTTGGTTGAGGGGCATTTAGGCTGCTTCCAGTTTCTGGCTATTACAAATAGTGCTGCTATGAACATAGATGAACAGATGTCCTTGTTGTATGAATGTGCTTCTTTTGGGTATATGCCTAGGAGTAGAATTGCTAGATCTTGTGGTAGACTCATTCCCATTTTCTTGAGGAATTGCCATACTGATTTCCAAAGTGGCTGTACAAGTTGGCACTCCCACCAACAGTGGAGAGGTGTTCCCCTTTCTCCACATCTTCTCCAGTACAGACTGTAATTGGTGAATAAACCAGTATCTTAATGCACTAAAGTTTTATTTTAACAACATGGATGGAACTGTAGGCTTATTTCTATTAAAACAAACCTTTCCTTGAATAAACTTGACTGATCTAAGTTGTCCACCAGAATTGGTTGAGAATCACCTAAAGACTAATAATGTTCTCTGTATGTCACCTCCAAGGGAGTGAAACCTCTAAAACCATGAGCAAATGCAAATCTCTCCTCTTTTGTGATTTTCTTTTGGTATTCGTCAGAGAGATGAAAAGTCTATCATAGTAAGACACAAATTGTGATATATCAAAGCAGTGTTAATTCATGAAGAATATGAACTTGCAAAAAATCTACTGTAGCAACCATGGCAATACACTAGGATTAGAAGGTTGTAAATTTCACTGAGATTCCTGAAACAATCATCTATGAAACCTGAGATTATACTGAAAAAAGCAATTCCCCTCAACTTGGCATCCAGTCATTAAGAAAACATATGATTCTGGTCCACATAATAGAGAAAGCAACAATAACCATCTTCAGGGAATTTATAACTTTTCTAAGATCCATGAGGACATAATGATAATCATTGTCAGCTGGAGGCATGGGTCGATAACTCAAAGGTCATTTTCCACAACGAGATAATTGGACAGTCACAACTATCATTTTCCTCAATCACCATCTCATTTCTGACCCAGACTAGAAATCTCTCATTTTCTGTCCACTCTCACATAAATAAATAGGTCATTTTAGATGAAAAGGCCATCTTTACTAACATATATCCAAATGGTTTTTTAAAGGGCTATGCCTCCTTTGTAGGTGTATAATAACCCTGCATGTTATTTTGTTATTAAACTACACAGACCCCAGAAGGAACATGCTGGAGATTTAAGGAGAAATAGTAATATGGGAAGTTATTTCATTAAGTACTATGTGAAATGCTAAAACACATCTTGTATGAATGACAATAGCATGACTACCTGGGGCATGGACGTGCCACTGAGAGTTTATCACAGCTACTTTGGGTGTTGAGCTAGGCTGGTAAAGTTGTACAATTCCTTTTGTCTATATTTGGCTTTTCAGTATTGTTTCCCCATGTGTGTCTTCCTTTTGGAAATTCACTCCATTCTTGAAAAAGAAACAATATATTGTGTAGGAATTAGACATCATTTGTGTTCATATAGGAATAGCAGTATGCATTAAACTGTGGATTTTTCTGAGTATTTTATAGTACCTAAATGTGGATAAGAGTTTTCCCTTCCTTATCCTGAATCTTAGACACTTCCTGTCTCTCCCATTGATAATGATGCTGTGTGATAGTTATAGATGCTCTTGAACACATGGAAGAAACTACCCTTTACACTTGCTTTATCAAGAATTTTCAAATGCTGAAACACATTGGAATTTGTCAGATATTTTATCTGCATCTACTGTGGTTCTGTCTTTCCATCCCGTTGCAGATGGCTAAGGGTGATCTTACCTTGACTTCTGCCAGAATCTTATTTAGTTTTAAGAAAGCACTGAGAAGCATTAAATAGCTTAGTCTCACAGACCATTCATAGGTCAATCCTGATTCAAATTGAATCTGACAGTGAGGTTGAAGACCAATATTTAATGGGCATGGCCAGTTATAAAATACAATTATTACTTGCCCCAAATTAACTCAAATCTTTCTCAATGCTCATTTCTGAAGATTGTATGTTATAATCTTTTTAAAAAGCAGTTAAGACAAATTTGGCTGTCAAGCAGATCACATATCTTAATTTGTGTCCTATTGCTCCTCTTCCATTTTCTTAGAGACGATACCACAGCCTTATTTACCTATGAGGATGACTGATGATTGGAAGATCATACCAAGTCACTGCGTAAGAGTTTAGAGAGCCTTGTTTTGCTACTTTTGTTTTCCTCCAATACTTTTTGTTCATTTCATACCTGTTTTTTTTGTGTATATGGCTCAACATGACATATTAAAAAGATTCCTATTTCTAAAAAGCAAGTATTAATAAATAGTAAAGATGAAAGAGAGATGGATAAAAGGTTAAAAGAACTTTCTGATCTTGAAGAGGACAAAAGTTTAATTACCAGAATCTACACGGTGGCTCAAAGACATCTGTAACTCCAATTCTAGGGATCTAAGAGGGCCACTCCCAGTTTCTATAGGCACCAGGCATCCATGTGGTATGTGTGTGTTTGTGTGTGTGTGTGTGTGTCTGTGTGTGAACCTTTTTCAAAAGATAAATATTAGAAAATTGATGTAGTTCTCTGAAAGGCTAGACAGCTATTAAATGGCAGCAACAACAACAAATACAGGATTTAAATTTGGAGTATCCTAAAGGAACTGCTGAAAGAAATCAGAGGAAATCTAATTACTTATACATTACTTTGTGTTCATGGATTGGAAGTTAAAGAATTTTTGAGATATAATTCTTTATGCTTGATTAAACCACAAATACACAAAATTGGAAGGTAAAAGAGATTATCTCATGCCTGGGTTAAGAATGACATGCAGATATTTGAAGCATTTCATGACTTTGTAACCTGGGTTATAATGGGACAATCATTTTTGTAATATTCTGTATTCTGTTTTTTTTTTTTTTTTTTTTTTTTTTTTAAAAAAGGCTTCTTTGTAGCATTGGGTGTTCTGGAGCTGAATCTGTAGACCAAGCTAACTTCAAACTCATACAGCTGCATCTGCATCTGCCTATTGAGTGCTGGATTTAGTGGAGTATGCCACCACTGTCTGTCTCATTTCTGTACCATTCTTTTCAAAACACTTTGGTCATATCATCTTAGAGTCCAACTCTATTTGCACACTAAAAAGATCAAAACCAGCCTGGTAATCATGGAAGTGAGCCAATGCTTCAAATACCCTGAGGTTTTCTTTTCCTTGAAACAATTATCTAAAATTTAAATGAGAGACTATAACATTTAATACCCTTTTGGTTGTTGGTCAGGGGAGTTCAAAAGAGTCACAAAGCAATATAATCAATTGATGTTGCTCTTGGATGCCTCCTAGAAGCTGAAGGCAAGTCATGATTTTCCACGCAACTTGCACATTGAATTTGGAGAATTATAGCTTAATACTATGCTAAAGTCTCCTCTTTGGAACCTAGCTTCCACAATGCTAGAAGGTGTTATGAAAACTGCCAAGGATAGAAATCATTTAATAGTTTGTTATGATAAATCTTTTTGCCAAAAGCCGCCTGAGCACCACCGCCACGTGTGAGCTTTACGCCAGCCGCCCACCCGAGTTAGGCCCAAATGAATACATAGAGAGACTTGTATTAGTTACAAAGCTGCTTGGCCAATGACTAGGATTCTCTTTTGTTAGCTCAGCCTCAATTACCATATATCTATATATTTTATGGGACTTATCTTATCAGACACCTTATTGGTGTCGCTCCTTGCTGGTGAATCACATCATGCTGCTGGAGCAAGAGCCCAGGGGAAAAGAAAAGAGAGCGACACTTCCTTTTTCCTCTTCTTAAATATGAGTCTCCTTGCTATGTCACTTCCTGTCTGGAACACCACTTCTCTACTACATTTCCCAGAATCCTCTTTGACTCCTAGTCCAGCCTAAGCTGCTGTCTCATTGGCCAAGCAAATACTTTATTTAAAAACATACACAGAAGTATTTCCCCCATCAATAGTTGTACTCAGTAATGATGGGTACAAACCACAAACAAATGACCAGCACATAAAGATATCCCTAAAGATGCAATAGTGGCACACATATTTTTACAGTAAGCAACAAATGTCTAATTGGGACTTAGGACCCACTCAAAAAGATGAAAATCTTACCTGATAACAGAAACTGACCCAAACACTTTAGCTAGAGAGGTCATGGGTCCTAGAGGAGAACTAACTAAAGCCACTTACCCAAACCGATATAATTCCTAAATGCATTGTAAAAACTTATCTTTATCCCACATCAAAAAATTTTTTTTTGCATCAGAGACTGCCTTAGCTCCTTTTCTATTGCTCCAAAGATACACCATGAACAGGACAACTTACAATTTTCATTGGGACTTGGTTACAGTTTCAGAAAGTAAGACCATGATCATTATGGAGGGAAGCATGGCATTAAGCAAATAAGAATGTTGCTGGCAAAGTGGGGTCAGCGGGACATCTTAAAATAGCAAATGTTGGAGAAAGGGAGCAGAAGGGACTCTCCTTCCTTGCAGGTAATAATTCACAACATTATCCATGCTTCAGAAAGCGGTACAGTTTCCACTTCTTACAAAGCTAAATGCTCATATTATTTAATACAGGAACTATTTCTCTAGATCCCCTTCACCCTTTCTCCCCCCCCCATCCATCTCTCTGACCTCTTCTCTCCCTGTCTCCCATGTTTTTCTGTCTGTTTAGATGTACATGTGTGTGCAGGTACTTGTTCTCATGTGTGTGTGTATGCCATGTGCATGTGGAAACCAAACAATAGACTTTGGTGTTGACCCTCAGGATCTGCCCACCTTGTGTTTGAGACATGCTCTCTCTCTTCTTGGCCCGCACCCACTGCACATATTACTTTCTCCCTAACCCCCTTTGCTTAAACAACTTTGGGGCCTGTGTACTTACATGGGAAAAATACAACTCAGTAAATATAAATATGTGTTCAGATATACTTGCAAATTTCAATGACTGGAAGCAATCAAGATGGATAACAAATGGATAAGTTGACTCATACACTGAAACCCTGCATAGGAATAAGCCACAAGGCCACAAAAAAGACACAAATGGCTTAGATGAGTAATGGTCCATAAATGAAGCCAATGTGTTCAAGCAAATATTTAAAGTTGGTAGAAATTGATCATTGTTTGTGAATATGTACAGATGGGGATATATGACTGTATAGCATTCAAAGGATTCTAGAGCAATAAAGGCATTCTATATAATGTTATAGTGCCCAACACCACAAACTATGAATTTGTAAAAATCATCATAGTCTACTGTGCAAATACTAAATGGATAAAAACAACCAGAGCCTCTTGAAGAAATGGATGATTGAAAGGACAAGACAGACAAAACACAAGTCCAGCCTGAAGCATTGGGCACCTAGTCAAGATTGTGTTCAACAAACCCCATGGAGTATGTTTGTAAGTAACCTAAAATGTACCACAAAATAAAACAAAGTATCATAGTAAAACTCAAGTTATATAGTAAATATTTATGAATCTGTGGTGATATAAATCAAATATAGGACTGAAGATACAGCTCAACAGTTAAGGGTGTTTGCAGCTTTTGAAGAGGTCCTGAATTCAGTATCCAGAATCTATGTCAGGTAACTCCCAATCATCTGTAACTCCTGCTCCAGGGATATCTGACGCTGTCACCTGTCATTCAAGGATGCCTACATACATGTATAAACAAGTAAATCCAGGATATATAAATGAAAGAAAATAAACAAATCTCCCATACAGAGAAACTCTATATGCATCTTGAATGCTCCTCTAAGTGCTAGCACACATCCTCTCCCCTCTGTGTGAGCTGTACATGGAAAATACTCCCACAGAGGACAGTATGAAAAAGGAGGTTAAAGTAACTATTCAACATGGAGAAAGCTGACAAGCATCTCTTCCACCAACCGATGAAGATTAGAGTGTTGATGACAAGCTCCACTGACAGGATGTAAGGAAGGACTCGCTTCTGTGACCTTCCCCTTACACCTTACCACAGTATCAAACCAATTAAGCATGAGACTATCAGGCAAGACCTGCCTGAGGGACATTCCACAAGACACCTATCTCAAAGCTGTGCAGGAGTCAAAAACCAAGTTAGGCATGAACACTTTTCACTATGGAAGAACCAGAGGAAATATGATGCCTCAATGTTAGAGGCAGACTGGAAAAGAAAATGGTCAAAGTAGGAAAAATGGTGGCATTTGATGTAGATGATTGTGTAGATCATATGCACATCATTAACTCTGACTTACCAATATAGCACCAGTGTCATATTAAGGAAAGAAATAAAAGCATTTCCCTTTAGTGTCATTTAGTCAAGAGTGATTCCAGATTCGAATCTCTGCTTCATACTCCCTGTGTCTGTCTGTTGTATGAGTCTGAATCTGTACCTGTCTAAAGGCTATCTTATGAACCTGTCCCTGTGTTGTGTTCTGTTTGTGTATCTAACCCCAACAAAGGATGTCGTTCTCTCAGTTTTGAAAAACTCAGAAAACATCTTATAGAGAAGGAAGGGGATACTTCACAGAAATCCTTGTCAGAGTTTTACAAGGGACTAAGTCAGTGGCTCCAACTTATCCCAACTATTCAGACAACAAACATCATTGCTTATCAACCAATATCCATAAATTTTGCTTTCAACTATTATGATAGATTTTAGAAAGTTGCTTTCAACTTCTGTATTTACTGCTTTCCAAAAATGATACATGTTCATTATCTGGATCAAGGCCATGGGACAATACATAACTTAAGATTGTAGTTATGTGTTAGCTTAGGTTGTTAAAGGTGATCAAATGGGAAATCTAAAGCAAGTAATGTTGCTTACTACATAGTTCCCTTAAAGGCAGGCTAAACAAACAGTGTGAATGCACAGTATGATAACAGCCTTACATCCTAAGTGACTGCAAGTGTGTTATTAACTCTGGATGTGAGGTCTAGAAAAAGTTCCAGTCTGTTTTTTAGCATGTAACAGATGTTTTCATAATATTGCATCCCACAGATACCAGTTATATAATAGTGTATTGACAATGATACCTAACACTCTGGACTACAGAGAATGTGTCATTATGTATACAGAAAGTTTACAACCTTGTACTGTCACTTAAAATAAATTAACTTGACTCTATCCACTTGCTGCTTCAAAGGTGTCACCTTCATCCCTCTCAATTATTCTAGGCCATTTTTAAATTGTTATCAGTGTAGCCATCTGTATTTGTTTTACAATAAATCTAATTCTTTCTTGGGTTATGATCAGTAAATATATTTATGTATTTAATATTAGAAGAATTTTTAAATTACCAGATGAAATTTCTATTTTAACATCAAAAGTTCTAAGCACCAAGAAAATGGAAAAGCTCTCCTTATATTGCTCATTGAAACCATCCTTTGATTTGGTTCCTTTGAGAAACCTCAGAAGGAAAATTTTAATGATCTTCAACTTTCTGAAACACTGCATAGAAACTGTAACACTTGTCTTCTTACACATCCTGTCTTTTGGAGCCTTCAGAATCACAATAAAAAGGCATGAGACTATAAGATAAGAGAACACTAACCTAACAATACAAGAGAATTTCCAAACTTTCTAAACTAGGGGATACGAGGCCTCCAATAGCAAAATTGATGTTTGGTAAAAGGTGTGCCAGACTCTAGATCTCACAGCTAAGAAATTAATTTTTCACTGAGTTTAACCTCTTGACAGGCAGCTATGCTGACTAAGGAAATTGAAATGAATTAAGTGAGAATGTGAGTTTCACTTGTATCAACAAAGTCCCAAGTGACAAGAGACTTCAGGAATTGAAGTCTGAGGCTGGAGGCAGTTCAGCTGGTAAATTACACAAGCTCGAGGACCTGAGATCTGATCTCAACCACTCATGAAACATCAGGTGAACACTGGAGTAGTAGAAGCAGAAGGATCTTTGGGTAGGTGACTTGCCAGCTTAGCCAAATACATGAGCTCTGGGTTCAGTAGGAAACTATTTCAATATGTAAGGTAGAAAGCCATCAAGAGAGGCATCCAGGGTTGATCTCCAACTTCCTCACATCCCACTCATGTGAACATGTACAAATCTATATATCACACACACTCAAAAATAAACTAATGAAGAATTAAGGGAACCTGGCATGTAGTTAAGGAACACTGAATCACTGAAACATTCAATTACATTTTAGGAAGCTTGTCCCAGTATCCATTTGATGAAAGCACAAGGAAACACTGATCAGCATTGCTCAACAATTGTAAACTAAGCATTTCCGTTTAGCCTATCCAGGAAAGCTAGAAAACTGAAAGTGAACATGACCTTCCAATTTTTCCATCTATAATAAAGTGTCGAAAGTGGCACACAAGACATTATATTCTCTGTTCACCAATAAGACTATGATACTTGGTTTTTACTTTTATAGATTTTAAAATTTTTGATCATCACAATTGAAATTCTCTCTCTCTCTCTCTCTCTCTCTCTCTCTCTCTCTCTCTCTCTCTGTGTGTGTGTGTGTTTCTGTTTCTTGTGTTTTATTCAACAACCTCCACTGCCTTCCTCCATACCTTTCACTTCTCATTGGCCTCTTAAATCCTCCCAACTAGACCCTCTTTCTACATTCAGGACACAAGTATTCCACTGCCCTCCCATGTTTGCCCTTCCCCCTCCCTTTATACAATTCTCTCCCAATTCACATTATCTTTCTAATTTCATACACATATGATATATATATTCTACACATCACACACACACACATATATATGTATAAATATAAATATATATATATATATATATATATATATATATATATAGAG